ACATGCTTCCTTCATTTCAAATACACAGAAGGCATTTTGTGAAATGCAAAGCATGCAAATTTTTCCCCAGTGGAGGGCGAGAAGCTCCAGCATTTAAAAACAATCACACACACACACACACAAAATCACCCCCCCAAAAATAAATAAATAAAACAGGGTCAACAACACATGCAGATCTTATTCTAGTGCCATGTGCTTGTAAAAATCCATAATTCCTAGCATTTTCTGGACGGCAGACATAATTGGCAATCAGGTTGGGTAAAGAGAGACAGCCATTACTTTCTTAATGGCCAACTACCCAAAAAGGCTCAGTTAAGTGAGCTCAACTAGCAACCTAATCAATTAAAATTGATAAGTGAAATACTTTTAACCTTTATTTCAGCAGGCCATTCCTTGGGGGTGGGGCGGAGCGAGAGAAATGTGAATTCCCAGCATAAAAGTTAATTCCATTTCACGGATGCAAACGTTCTTGCTGCCCTGATGGAATGGCCCTCTTTAAAGCAAGCTGTTTCCCCTCTCTTTCCTTGAATCAAATCAGAGAAAGACTGGTTTATGGTTTTCTCCAGCCAACTTCGATCAATGTCAACCCTTACAGAAATCCCTGTGGCGATTTCTCAAGGGTAAAAGGGTCAAAGAAGATGGGGAGAGAGCACAGAGGGGACATAACTTCTTTGCTTCTCCAGGAAAGAGAAGGGGAAAAGAACATAAACAAGAAGAAGGAAGAAGCAGCAGCAAGACCACCAGGTAAACCCATAAGAATCATTTCCTGAGAATCCCGTGTGTCAGGCTGTGTGCTGCCATGATTGTATAGAGGGCAGAGGTCCTGGAGCTTGAGGACCCCCAGCGCCCCAGCACAGATCTTGCAGGAAGCCACCTGCACCGCTCCACCCAGTCTCCAGAGAGCAGAGCCCGAAGGCTGACTTCACGGTGCCCAGAACCTGGGGTCCTTTCTTCAGGTTTTGTGGGACATGCACATTCTGTCAGCTCATGGTCACAGGTCAACCTCAGGATAAAGCGCAGGCCACACGCTGACCCGCCCAGTGATGTGAGTCAGCATGTCCTCCCCCCTGCTGCCACGCGGACGGCCAACTCACTCAGATCTAGGACGTCATCAGTTTTGATCAGATCCTCCTCCCGCGTCAGTGGCAGCTGGGTCTCGGGCTCCCCTCGCAGTTGCAGTGACAGGGAGCGAAGCATGAAGAATACCCGGATGGCCTGGATGGACAGTTCAGAGAGCAGAGAAGGGTGAGACAGCAGTCCCTGCCGCGAGATGCTCCACGTGCAGAAACCACACCATGAAGCTTGGTTCAAAACCAACCAACCAACCAACAAAACAAAGCCTCCCTCTCCCTCTCCCAGGACCGTGGTTCATGATTCTGGTGCTTTTAGAGCAAGGCAAAAAAAAAAAAAAAAAAAAAAAAAAAAAATATATATATATATATATATATATATATATATATATATATATATATATAGATCTATATATATCTCTCTCTCAGAGGTGCAGCCTCCTTGCAGTTATCCATGTTTGGGCCACTTTACCTTAACTGAGCATCTGTCATTTGCCAGTACCTGTCCCCTAGTGTCAGGTGACCGTCATGACACCTCTGCTCAGCAGGCGGTCCCACTCTGCAGACAAGGCACTGACACCCAAGGAGGTGACACGACCTGCCCCAGGCCACACATCTAGGGAGGGCTAGCACCAGGCCTCTTCCAGTTAAACTAGCACGGAATTTGGAAATCCAAATCATGAGTGTTTCAAGGTCCCACCTCCTGAATGTGGGAGCAGGGGAGGCAGAAGACGGGGGATGCTTGTGGGGCTCAGAGCCAGCCACATCCAATGAAAGCCTTACCCCTGCCCTTTTCTGGATGAGCCCCTTCACCTTGGAAATTCGGCCCCTTGGCCTTACAGCAGGGCGTGTGCCACTGACGGGGCAGCAGACCTGGCACCTGGCAGGTGTGCAGTGATGTCAGTGTCCTGGACGCCTTCTCAGGCCTCCCCATCCAGCTCCCTGGGAGCAGAGTGGCTCCCTCAGCACCATGAAAGAGGTGTCTGGGCAGAATCCAGCGTGGCCATCAGGCGTTTCCAGAGAGCAGGAAAAAAGCAGAATTCCAGGTCCCCGAAGCCAGAGAAGTTTCTGCAGAAAGCAGCTTGCCCTGGTGGCACCCTCCCCTTGAGTCCTAGGTTGGGGCTGACTCACCCCCCAACCAGAGGCCAGGAAGTGGAAAGGCCGCCTCCAGGCCACTGTCCCTGACTTCAGCTGACAGGCCTGCCTGAGGGCGTGTGCTGAGGGCGGCAGCTCCAGAGCCAGGCATATAAGGTCTGCGTTGGACTCCCAGCTCGGCAGGCTCCTTGGCCTCCGTGAGCTTCAAATTCCTCCTCTGTGAAATGGGGGCTGCTAGGAGGTTCTGAGAGAATACTGGGGGAGAACGCAGCCAGCACGTTTTCTGTAAAGGGGCAGCCGTCCTTTACTCCCCAGTCACTTGACAGCTGGGCACGGGGGAGGGCACGGGGACAAACCACTGTCGCCACTGGTGAGCCACACAAAGATGAATTCCAGCCCTTTTTTGGGTCTTCTTGTTTACAGTTCTGAGGGCTACAGGCCTGGCCTACTGAGGGGAGAGGCTGCCCTTTATATGATGAGGTGCCCCCTGAGACAAGGAGGGGGGGACAAATGACTGCCTGCAAAGAGCCAGGCTTGCACGGGCTCCTGATGTCCCAGGCAGCAAGGATGCCTGTCAGCACGTCTAACCCTAATCCTGCCTTGGCCGGGAAGAACCCAGCGGGAGACCTTGGGCCAATTACTTAACCTAATATAGAAAACCAGAACAATCCCACTTCCTGAGCTTATTGTGAGGTCATGATTCTCCTTTGTGAGCCATATCACTAGAGAAAGACGAGCTTTTACATTATCATATAGATGATGGTGGCATTCATACTGATCTGACCTTAGTTTTTTAAGTACAGTCTTCATAAAGACATCTGCGACAATCAGAAGGGTCTAGTTTCTTAAAAAAAACAAAAACAAATCAAAACAGCTTTTATTTATTAAGCTTCTACTGTGTGCCAGGCAATGTGGGCACCTTATTGCCATGTAAAGGTCTGACGCAAGATGACGCTGAGAGGGGCAGAGCAATCTAAGCTCACGCAGCTGATGAGTGGCTGAGTTGGGGCTGGAACCCAGGAACGTCTGAGATTTGTGTCGCTTAACCAAGCACATGAGGACCTTTAAATACTCTCGCCAGCCCAAGTGCAAAAAAGATGCGAGTGGGCACTTGAACTCTTTGGCAGTTTGAGCTCTCAAATAGGAAGCCTTGGAGATGA